GTGGATTCTGGCTCTTCCTCAAGCTCCAAATGGCTATGAAAGGTAGAAGTTTCAGTCCACTCAAGACGTCGAGGCAACTGTGACAAGGCACCCAAAGGTGCTCAAGGAAAGGACTTCAGGATGGGATCGGTGTGTTCAAACTTGGAGAGGGGATTTGGAGGGGACTCATGGCACTGTGCCTTTCCTTATAATAAAATAGTCTAATGTTTTTAAATAGTGTTTCACTTATTTTTAATCACATTTTACAAATGGGACAACCATTGCAGAAAACCACAGTGATTACAGCAACAGTAATCAAATAATGAAAAGGTGGACACAGCCCGACTATTCTTCTAGAGATGAGTGGATCAATGTGATGTGGCATATCTGTGGAACAGAATATTATTCAAGCATGAAAAAGGAATTAAGTCTAAAGTATACTACAACATGAATGAACCTGGAAACACTATGCCGACATATATAAGCCAAACTGAAAAGAGTAAATATGGCTTCACTAATACAAAATATCTAGGACAAGAAAATTCACGGAGACCGAAATTAGGTTAGAAACTACTGTGGGTTGTAGGATTCAAATGGAGAGTTTTTCTTTAGTGGTTACAGGGCTTCTGCTTGGAATAGTGAAACGTTTTGGAAATAGATTGCTCAATGACTCCAAGCTACTGTAAATAGAATCAATGACACTTGAAATGATTAAAGTGACAAATTTTATTGTATATCATACCAAAAGAGAAACGATTGACATGATATGTAGATATTGTCATATGTATATAGACATATTCCAACATATATCTATATGTCATACCAAAACAGAAAAGCCACATAACCTCATGGCTCCAACTTGCAGCTACCTTGGCTGCATTGCAAAAGGGAACAAGTGGTTGTTCCCTTGGCTTTAGATCAGAGGTGAAAATACAGAGAAAAAAATGAGTCCATTCTCTTAATTTTAAAAATAAAACTGAAATTATTCCACTTATTCACTGCAACGTTGTTGCGGAGTAGGGTGATTATAGCTCCCGATAATGCGTTGCCTATTTTAAATAACCACCGCAGAGGATTTCCAATACCTTACAGCAACAAGAAATGACAAATGTGTAAGAGGAGAGGAGTGCTAATTCCTCTGATTCGTCCACTGATCATGATACAGCATAAGCATGTATGGAAAGCAGGCAATGGTAATTTTTTTAAGTAGGAGAGAAAAAATCATTCCCAGACCAGCTTTGCAGTGTAAGAGAAATGGACGCTTTGTTTAGAAAAACGGAAAGAAAGATAAAATCGTCCTGGGGAGATCTCCAAGACCTTTAAGGAAAACCTTGATGGGAGAAAGCGAGCTCTGCGTTTTGCTGCCTAACCGGGCCGCGGGGCAGCGGCTCTGAGGCCCGGAGGCTCTTGTCTTATGTTCCTGTGCCCAGTGCTCTCGGCCAAAACGCAGACCTCGTCCTCGGCCGTCTGCAGCCAGCACCAGCCTGCGAAGGTCCGTGGAGGATCAGGAGCCTCCAGGGACCTGCGCTCTCCAGAGGCTCTGCGGGAGGATCAGCTCTGCCTTGCCTGTGCCCAGCGCGAGCCAGAGCCTGCCCCACAGAGGCGAGCTCCGCAGCTGAGGCGTGAGGCGCTCCTGGAGCGGGCGTGGGGCTGACGTCTGGACACAGCTTCCAGCCTCCCTCCTTGGTACCGTGCTTTGTGGGTCCCGAGGACAAGAGTAAGTATTTCACAGACACAGAATCATGGCCAGTTAGAACTGTAAGGGGCAACGCGATGTTCAAGCACTTTTATTCTACAGGAAAGCAGCAGGCTCGGGAAGGCTGCGCCACAGGCGCCAGCTCCTAGTCCACTCCTCCCTGGAGTTCTTCCCCCCGTCCTCGTGGTGCTCTGCACCGCCCGTCAGACGCCTGTAATAGCACGGGGCTGTGGCCCTGCTCCAAGGGGAGGCACACTCTTGTCTTTTACTCCAAGCATGCTATAGAAGCAGCACTGGACTGTTGCTGGCTCCCTTCTTAAACTTCAAGGGCTGCAGCACTTGCCCATCCGCTTGACTACTGCAACCATTAACTCTTTAGGGCCACCAAAATTGGAACATTCAACATCACTGGCTCCAACACGACATGAGACAGGCTATGGAAATTAACCTCTCTGTTTGCTTAATTTTAAAATGTTAGCATCTTTTATGGTTCTAAAAGAACATCCGTAGCATTATCCTGTGACGGAATGATTTTTACCTTGGCTGTCCTTAAAGACAAGGGCTAAATCCTCTCCTTCCTTGAATCAAAGGACTAAATCCTCTCCTTCCTTGAATCCAGAGGAAATGTGTGCAATCGGAGGTTCCTGAGTCAGCAAGATCTCTTTCTCTGAAGGGCCCGCGCGTTCTGTAGCCATAGCAACACGGCTGAGCCAGCCCTGGGGGCAACTAGGAGCGAGCGAGGGCTTAGAATAGACCACAAGCTTCTGCTCCTCTGGAGGGGAAAGCCAGAGGCTTGTTAGTGTTTTTGTTCACAAAACCGGCATTCTGCATGGAAAGGGAAAAAGAAATCCACTGGAAGATTTCTTTTAATGCTTAAAAATAAATAGGAAACTTAAATTTCTCCTTTAAAAATAAAGCAACAAACCAACCAAGCAACAAAATGGAAAATGTGTAAGTGTCTCTGAAAAGACCCCATCTAAAAAATAACTTTCTATAAAAATCTCCAAACCTTTTATGGGGCTTGAATTCTCTGCTGTCCTACAGGCTGTGACACTAAACACAGTGGCAGGAAACTTTCTACATAGAATGATATACAGCAGCCAGATCCAAACTGGAAGGAGGGCCCAGCATGGGAAAGAAGCAAGGGGTGAGTTGATTATGTGTCCCAGCAGGAAAAGTGAGTACAGTGGCCCTAAAAAGGGAGGGGTTGACACCCATGCACATTAATGAGGAGGAGGGTTTATGGTTTTAGAACTTCTTGGGTAGAAGTGTTCTTTTACAGGTATAGAAAGCTGCCTGGTATCTCCAAGCCAGTTTTCCAAGGCGTGTGACCTCCAGGTGTTCTTCCAGGCAGTTGGACAAAAGTAGACCAGTGATGCTTTCACACTACTTGGGAGGCCACAGCTCCTTATTAGGTTCTGGCCTTTCAGCTCTCCCAGCATACCCAGCCAAAGGGAGAGGAATGACTCAAAACGCCAGAACCACAGAACTTCACTTTTTGAAAGATCTAGTGGTATACACGTGTGGAAACACACACACACACACACACACACACACACACACACACAGAGTACTGAAAACCCCTCTTTCTACTGTAATAACTTACCAAAATGTTCAACTTTTCATTACCTTTATTATACAAACCTGATGCTTTTTTAGGACTCATTCTGACTTCTGTATATGTTGCACTGAGAAGGTTAATATTTAATGTCTTAATTTATTTTGTGTGGTAAGTTAATTTTGATTTCTGTAATGTGTTAATGTGATTAGCAGCTATTTTCCTTAATATCTGAATTATACTTAAAGAATAGTGAGCAATAAAAAAAAAAGAATAGACCACAAGCGTGTGGTCTGGGGGAGGCCATGGGGTCTCTGGTAGATGGCTAAAGTCCCTCTACCTCCTTCCTCAATTCTCCATCTACACAAATAAGCTATGGGTGTTGGAAGAAAATGGAAAACGTCAGCCTGTGCAAAAATTAAAGACCGCAACATGAAAAGGAAGCAACTAACTTTCTGAAAAATCTGTTTCTTAATTTTCAAGGTGCTGAAAGACACCACGAGATCCCTAGGAACGTGTCTCACAGATGATACAGTTTCCAATAGCAACCGATACTTAGAGGAAGACACTCAACTAAGGGCCCGCATAGAAGTCCCTCGAGCAGTGGCCCCAAATCGCTGCACGTCTGCACTTATTAAGAGCGAGATGGTGAGGGGTTTGTCGGAGATGAGAACTGCATTTGACAAGATTTAGCCAATATCTCAGGTCTCCTGTGCTGTTTCTACTGATTCAGCTTTCTATATATGTTTCAGACAAGAAAGCCTCTAAGATATTACAAGCAATGAGAGAAGTCCCGTGTGGTTTAATTAATAAAGAATACCATACTCCAGATAAGCTGCAGTGAGCCCCAGAGTCACGGCACAGACCATCTGTGGTAGCCACAGTAGGCTAAGAGCTCTGACTGCCGGTCTGGACCACTTTAGGAGGAAACACCGCACTGAGCCCCCGTAACCAGCATCCGGGCCAGCCTCCTCCTGGCTCCTGCGCTCGACCACAAGCTGACACACTGTAAGGGGTCATCCCAATATGAGTGCTTAAGTTCCTTCTGAATTACAGAAAAAGGCATCCCTTTTGCCACTTTCTGGGGCACTTCTAGAAGTCCTGATCCCTGAGTCTCCTCATCAAGTGTGATCACAAATACAGTGAGTGCTTCTGCCCCCAACAGAAAGACAGGCTTGCAAAATTAGTACTCTGTGGCCTTGTCTATCTTAGTCTCTGGATCTGGCACCGAAATGATTCTAGCTCTTCAGCATGACTATAAAAAGGAAACATTTTGAATTAATTCAGGATATCCTGGCAGCCACAACAGTGCAGCTAAAGATCTGCATGAAATAGAGCATCAGAACTGCTTCTGATGGGGCCAGAGTGATGCAGTGGGTGTGGCCGAAGCCGGGCAGAGTATTTGAGATGGGGGTGAGTGAGAGCCAGCGACAATATGTCCTTTACTGTAATACATTTCTTAATTTAAACATCACCATATTTTTAGATCATACCTCATAGAACCAAGATTTCTTCTATACCCTTCAGATCTAATCGTAGGTGCAACTAGAGTAATTACTTCTCTCTTCTTATTACAGATGCCTTACACAATTCACAGATGACACTGATGGAGAATACTTCAGAGGTGACTGAATTTATTCTTGCAGGTTTAACCGATGCCCTGGAGCTGCAGGTCCCGCTGTTTCTCCTCTTCACTGTCATCCACTTCACCACCCTGGTTGGCAACCTGGGGATGATCGCGCTGATTGCGCTGGACTCGCGCCTCCACGTGCCCATGTACTTCCTCCTCGGCAACCTCTCCCTGGTAGACTGTCTTTATGCCTCAGCTGTGTCTCCCAAGCTCACCAAGGGGCTTCTCACGGGAGACAAGACCATGTCTTACAACGCATGTGCTGCCCAGATGTTCTTCTTCGCAGCCTTCGCCACTGCAGAGAGCTTCCTGCTGGCCTCCATGGCCTACGACCGCTACGCAGCGGTGTGCAGGCCCCTGCATTACGCGTCCACCATGACAGCTGCGACGTGTACCCTGCTGGTCTCCGGTTCCTATGCCAGTGGACTCCTGCAATCTTCTCTCCACGTGGCCTTCACCTTCCGCCTCTCCTTCTGTCATTCCAATGTGGTTAACCACTTTTTCTGTGACATTCCCCCACTGCTGGCTCTTTCTTGCTCTGATATCCATGCAAATGAGACCGTGCTCTTCTTGCTGGCGGCGTTCAACGTTTTGTTCACTCTCATGGTTATCTTGAACTCTTACCTATTTATTTTTGTTACTATCCTGAGAATGAGTTCCACTGAAGGGCGCCAGAAGGCCTTCTCCACCTGCGCCTCCCACCTCACCGCCGTCTCCATCTTCTACGGGCCCGTCATCTTCATGTACCTGCAGCCCAGCTCCAGCCACTCCATGGACACGGACAAGATCGCCTCCGTGTTCTACACCATGGTCATCCCCATGCTGAACCCCGTGGTCTACAGCCTGAGGAACAAGGAGGTCAAGAGCGCATTCCAGAAGGCTACCAGAAAAGCAAAGTCTTCCCTGGGCTTAATTTAACAATTATAAATTATTTGCAAATCATGTGAAACTTTCATTGGGCCTCTATGGTCTAGGAGTATTTTTAATTATAATATATATTGTTTTTAATTTATCTGAGTGATTTTTTTCATGCATGAGAAATCTCTTCATGCTTTGGGAATAGGAGTAGATGAGAGGGGAGTGGAGCTGGCTTTTGTCAAGCACATAATGCTGCTTCTCTTCTAGGTTGTGGTCCTAGATGCTGTAGGACCGCACATTGTCCCACACTAGTGGTGTGATGCTCTCTGCAGAGAAACCTCCCTTGTTATGCAGAAAAGTAAATTTTTAACTCCTATAATTCAAAACAATTTTGTGATTCTTACAAAAGCATAGAGCTACAGTTCTCAGACATCAGGGCTTCTGAGAATTACCTGGAGACACTGTCAAAACATAGCATTCCAGAATCTCACCCAAGACAATTTTATTCCATTACTTCAGAGGAATTCAAACATCCATCAGTTGATTCCTCATTATCAATATCTACTGCATCATGAACTCAAGTATAGCAAGAGCTCCAGCAGATTGTTTGAACAATGAAGGATGCTCTATGATCTAAACTTGTTTAGTCCCTGAAATTCTGAAATCAAAGGCAGAGTTCAGAGAACAAGAACTCATCCTAACTGCTTGCATCACTTCCTGACCTGAGCTCTTTCTAGCAGCTTAGCTGTTTAGCAAATG